AATTTTTATATGCACATTCACTGTAATAAAAAAATAATACTAAACTAAACACAATTTTTAGATTATTATGTTCAACAAATTAATTTTTATGCATATATATATATATATATATATATATATACATCAATATTTTGTGGACATAAGTTTTTTGTATATAAGACATTACTATATATGTAACAAAAAATGACGATTATATATATATATATATATATATATATATATATATATAATATGATTGGCTATCAATCTTGTAATATATGGATTCACAAACTATGGTTCAAACATAAATTATACATTTTTTAAAAAAAATGATAGAATTAATTATTAGAATTAGAATTTGAATAAAATATATAATACTAGAAAATATTATGAATCCTTAAAGTTTTTATTTGAATTTTTTCTTTATTATTATTTTTTTAATATCTTTATAAAGTTTTATTTCAAATATTTTTTTGGATTTACTTTAAGCATTTATATGTTGATGTTTTCAAATGAAATCAGTAAAATAATAAAGAACTATAGAATATAAGCTACAAGCCAAATCAATGGATTTTTATGTTTGTAACATGCTTAATTACTTGTGATTAATAAAAATCAAAAATCAAAGTTGAAAACAATATAAAGTTTCTTTTAATTTTTTCTAACTTTTTTTAAAGTTATACATATGTTTTCTTCTTTGCTAAAAAATTCAAATTTTTTTTATTCTCAATCAAATTATATTCTACAATAAAATTCTATATAGATAGCTTCTACTGGCTTAAAATAAAAAAGAAGTGATGGGAGAGTGGTGGTGAAAAAGATGATCTAAAGAATGATAGATAAAAGCCATATATAAGTAAAAATATGAGAATAAATAAGAAGGTAAAACATAAGAAGAAACATATATGGTTAACCAACCCAATTGACTTGTCATTAGATCTAGACCAATAGGACCATTAGGATTTGGATAGTAGACAAATTGGACAAGAAGAGTCCACATAGGAAACCTAAGGTAGATTAAATATACCTAATCTACTTATGAATTGAACTAAATTATATTAAAATATAAATTATAAATATAAAAAAACCAAGAATATTCAAGTCACTTTAAAACCAAGCACCTAAGTTAGAATAAAATAGATTAAACATAATATCAAAGCAGAAGCCTAAGAAAATAGCATGTGATTGTAATTAATTAGAAGTAGGATATATATACAATAAATTTGAATAGAAGAAACTATCTTATATTTAATATTTTTGCTAAATTTATTGATATCTTTTGTTCCATCCAAATTACTTATTTTAAGTTTCAACTTGACAATAGTTTTTTTTCTTTTTTTATTATATTTATACTAAAAAGATGAGATTATTTTAATCTAATTGGTAATTGTAGTGGTACAAAATTCTTTCAAATAAAGATTTTTTTTCAACTTATAAATATCTGATAGGTATTAATTGTATTAAGCCTATTATGAAAAAGTACCAATTCAAGTTCAACTTATTTGAGAACTTTTTGGAGTTCATTTTTGGACTTAATCAAACTATCTAAAAGATTTTGCTAACTTAGAATTGCCAGACTTTGGATTGGCAAACATCTATAATACCACAGTCTGCATTGAAAGTCTAACAATTAGATGTCTAGGTTTTGAATCAATTAATGTCTACAGTACCAAAGTATAGGTTGAAGACCTTACAAAGAGGTGTATAGATTCTATGCCAAGAAATATCAAAAAAAAAAAAAAAAAAATGTCATATGTTCTCTTATTTTGTATCTCCTAATTTGGTGCTTATCTTGGATAGAATATCATTTGGATCAACACTAAAATCAAGATTAATACAAATGAAAAATAAAATAAAAAAATGATTGCACGAAAGTGAGTTGGGTCAATGTTATGTTGTTAAACTATTCTAAAAACTTTACATACTTTTTACACATTATAGATTTATCATAGAGATTTGATGGAATATAAATCTATCTTCTTTTTATTTGATAATGTGGCTCTTTAATATTGTTTTTTCAGTCTCTTCTTCCTTGCTTGTAGCTCCTTGTAAATAAGCATCAAAGTAGAAATATAGCTTTAGAAAATACACACATGAACCAAGATTGGGTTCCAATAGTTACTTCTTTTCACACCTCCTAATCAAAGTACACAACAACTATTCCTTGTTAAACTATTTTTCAACTATAAAGTAAGCAAAGTCCATAGCAAAAGTTGGAAAAAGGCTCAACAAAATGAAGAGAACCATGAAAAGAAGACAACAAAAAGTATACAGAGAAAGGAAGGATGGAAGAGAAAAAGAGAGAGCGTAGTAGTAGTAAGCAGGCTGAGTGTAGTTTGGAAGGGGAGACAGAGCCGGAATGGAATGGGAAAGAAAGGGGAGTTAGGATCCTATCCATCCCAATTTATGCCCCAACCACCTAACCTCCAAGTCCACAAAGCCCTTCTTTGTTATCACAATCTTGGAAGAGACAAAGAGCATGTGATTGATCCATTGCTAGGTCCATCTATCTGCAGCATCTCTCTCTCAGACTGACCCACCCCTGTCAACTCTCACACCAAAAAAAACCAAACACTGCACTTATTGTGGAGTTTCTCAAGCCATTAGGGTTTCATGTCCTCCCACCTTGTTTATATATATATATATATACATACATTTCTTGTACAATGTTCAAGATGCAAAGTGAGTAAAAGCAGATACAATGGATTCATATGTTGCAATGTCTACGTGCAAGCAGAGAATAATTCAGAGTCTACATGGATTATGGATTTGTGATTCAATGGCTTCTTTCTTTATTGGTATGTGGTTTACTTGCTTAGAATCTATAAAGAAAATAAACCTGTTTTTCTTGCACTTGTGAAGTGTTGAAGATAATGTGATGTGGAATGGAATCTTTACATGTTGGGTGGAGTTTGGTAGGATGAGAGTTGGTGGTTGAATTTTTGACTTGTTAGCAAAACCATCTACTCTAAATGTATTATTGTGTTAAGTGGATATTATGAAGTATTAGAATATGTGATGATTTCAACTTGCTTTCTATCCTATGCTCTCAAGTTGTGCTTTTGATATAAGCAGAAGATAAATTTTAGGAGCAGATTTGGAAGAATTCAATTACAAAGTTACAATTCTATCATAGCAATGTTGCAATTGTTGATCACATATTGCTACTCATTATTGCTCTATGCTATTATACATAGTTGTAATGATAAATATGTACATACATGTATAGTTTTGGAATTACATCTTTGAAAATTTTGGGCACAATCATTGAGAGGAACTTATAATGAAATAAACATATTTATATTTATATAAGAGAATGTTAAATAGACCCAAGTTTTTACTAAATCAACCCATTCATGATGAAGAATATAGTAATCATGATGAATGCGGTTGATTTTCATTGGTTTTGGATCCAATAGTGGAGAAATGAATCTAGATGTCATTTTATTTTTAATTTAGTGGGTCAATTTAGTAAATGCCTAGGTTTATTTAACATCCTCCTTTATGTGTATATATATATATATATATATAATCTTGAGTACAAAATATGTTGTGAATTGGAGTATACAACCAGTGTGAATCAACTTTCATACTTCCTCTCTTTCTAGCATGACTGCCTTGGGGCAAAGCATATTTTCCAAAAATACACTAACAGAAAGAAGGGTTTTATGGTCATGTTTAACAATGGGCAACAAAGCTGGCTGGCATAAATTCTAGATTCTTGAGTTGGCAAGGGATTGTATATAATAGCTATTGGGCTAGGGACCAAAACAAGTGTGGCCACAGGCTAAGGGGCACACACCCTTCATTATCACAACCCTGATAAATAACCCTGTGATAGTGTTGCCATTTTGCACTCAACCATTTTGTGTCACATCACAGGTCAAGCTTGAGCTTACAAACACCATTGACTCTGCTTCATTTCTCCAACCGTAGGATTCCTCATCATCAATCATGGACCACTGTATGCATCCAATAACACCAAGTGTACCTTGACCAGAGTAAATCTAAGAGAGGTCTATCTTTAGGCTTGTCTTAGATTTCCTTGGGTTCAGGTGGTACACCCTTGATGTAAGAAAAAAAACAATCTACTGTCCTCATACCCATACCCCAAACCGTCACAGGACATTGAGCAGGAAAAAATTGATTTGCTGTTTCTCATAGACCTCACAGATTATTGCTGTGGGACTCAAGATAGTACACAATCTACCAGCAGGTTGCAAACAACCTGAAGGCCACTACATATTTCAACAAGAACAGGTTGCACTGCTTGCTTGTTAGTATGCAACTACTTGGTAGTTCCTTGAATTAAGAATACTTCTGTACCTACAAGCACCTACATCTAAACCCATGAAAGTAAAACTGTTACATTCTAAACAAGAATGTACTTTTACAAAATGTGTATTTCCACAAAAGGTATGACAGTTCATTGATAATATCAAGGTACAGAAATATAGGATTTGGATCCAACCAAATTAAAATCTAGTTAACATCTCATACTACTACCACAGGACATAAAAGTCTTGAAATACTGTTAGTAGATGCAAACACAATTCACTGAGATGGCATGAACCATATCTCATCCTAACCCCAGCAACAAAGGACAACATAGTAGCTCTGCAACAGTGCTCAAGTCAATTGAATACCCACTGGGGAAGAGGAAGTAAACCACAAAATCTCTTCAATGAAAAACTAGGAAGCTTCACATAAATGACCCCAGCTACATCGCAATCAGTTATATATCGAGTAGTAGATTACATACATCACTTTATGACATCATTTGCCAGTTCATCATAACCATGCAGGCTGTCAATACTAGGCAGCACTTGGCTAACCACTAAAAAGGAGCCTTGATCATGTGTAGTGCAGAATGAAACGAGATGATGAAGACGAGCACAGACTTGCACTAATAACTAAAGCCATACATAATCCGCTATAAAAAGTAATCAAGTGTCTTTCGGGTAACATCTGGTTCACCTCTCCAAGGAGCATGTTCAATGTGTGACCCATCCCAATCCAAAAGCAACCAAATCAGTCATCACATTGACCGGCGCGTGTTTAAGAACACAGACACAGCTTGAAACACCGAGGTATACAATGCTTCGAGGGCGCTGTTCTAATACATCTGGACATGTGAGATGTAGATGCGACGTCCCGACATGACTATGATGAACCCTGATGCTAATGCCAATGCAGCAACTAAGATCATACTGAAACGTCCGAGCAGTGCACTGCCATTCTAATCCAGCAAAAAACTGACTTGGATAAATGCGTTGCACACATTGTCGTCAACTTCCAATATAGAAGATATATTTCCTGCAATTAATAAATACCAAGAATACTACAGATCTTGAGTACAACGCATTAACTGTGATTCCCAGCTAAAAACGTATCACATACGTGTACCAACAAGAAGACATCTTGAGAAACAGTGGAGCGAAGTGTGCAAGACGACAGGCTAAACCACAGCGATAGCAGCAGTTAGGTGCGCAGACGATAGTGACCACCTTGAGTTCCTGGATAAATAAACCATAAGAATTTTATAATTACTCAACAGTCAACGCTAACCAACGGCCACGTGAATGGGGACTGAGAAGTCACACAAGAAACGATATAGATGGAAAACGTCCATGAGCCCAATGGTAACCCTTCACAACTAATTGATGACCTCGTGCAAAAAACTTGAGTTTATCGTTGTGATTGAACTGCTCCGAAATGGCCTGCACATATTAAGATCCATAACATTCATAAGTTCAAATTATGTAATCAACCCAAGGAAAAACGATATATCTACATTCAATTAAAAATATACATTAGAAAAAAATAAAAACCGAGGCAAAAAGATGCAGTACCATTCATCTTAAAACAGGACAATGAAAGTAGATAAGAGAAAAAAAATGAGGGACCTCTTGCAGTTGATCCAGGCCACGAATGAGATGTAGCGAATCTATACTAAGCGATAATCCTCCTCGCAAACAAAACATCTCCGATTCAATGTGTTGGGAGATCCCGATTACTACAACGCTCAGCATGAAAGAACTTCTGGTGGCCACTTACTTCCAGCTAAAATAGATATTAGTGTCCGGATTGCAAATGAAATACTTTTGGCTACTTTAACAATGCCGCAAGAAGACCATGCATGCTTACCAGAACGGTCAAGGGAAAATAATCAAATAGGTCCGTAAAGAACTTCCATACTTGGGCGTTCCCGAACCTATAAGTGTCCCCAAATTGAATAATCCGATTAGAGAGATGCAGTGTCAATGTATGACACCATTCTGTGCAACGCAATGCCCGGGTTGCCATGAAGACTTCAGCAACACTTTGTTTCTTTTGTTGCCATTTGCTTTGGCCACGAAGTTATAACATACCAATATAACACAACTCACTTTCGAAGGTATACGTCGTAGAACCCATAGATTGAGTGATCTGATCCAATACCAGAGATGCACAATGTCAGTGCCTCAATAGTGGTGTGTACTCCAGCTTGACGGAGCTTTCTAACAACCGGTGCGCAAATTCAAAAGTAGAGACCAAGCAACACGAGGAACGAATCCAACTTCAGATCACGAGTCTCTCCGATGTGAAAACAAACTCCAGAAAGGGATTCGAAATTTGGTTGCGATGATGAAATGATTCACAGAACCTACAATTACAAAAGCAGCAATAGGTTCAACACTATTGAACCTGCCAACCAGCTGATGAAACGAGAGCGTCGTGACTTAATCACCCACCCATATGCTTATCAAGCAAGACATGCTAGGGAGATCTAACTATGACTTCCACCGATTGCTTTGAGTCCACACAATGAGATCGTAGATGAGAATTACCTGCTGACACTCATGGTTGCCTCGCAAAATCGTGACACGATCTCGATATCGCACTTTCAAAGCCATGAGCAGCTGCTAGATGAATCGATGGAAAAAACTGATACTATCATTCAAAGTAGCCCTCACAAAAGTGGAACACACTTGTGGACCATGGCTCAACTACAGCAATAGTCATTAACGAAAAAAGTTCTGAGTGATTTTTCATTCAAACCAAATATCAGCAAATTTGAGTCGCCACAAGAAGTGAGGCAATAGTTTTAGATTATTCCCCACTGGAAAATAAACAAAAACTGCTCATACGTAAAAATAAGAAAGTAATCAGAACACAAACCATTCCTCCAATCCGAAAAGGATTGGTGAGATCATGGAATAGCCCATGGATGTCTCCACAGATTGTCTGGCTGGCTGTTACCACCCATGCACGCCACCAAAACAAATCATCCCAGCTCATGGACAAGCGCATTCAGAAGGTGATAATTAAGCAGGGATATCCATCAAAACGACTGATGAATCTTAATTAGAAACTACGTGCTTTAAAAGGGCAAACCAACTCACTCTACTTCTTTCTCAATATGCGCATGGGATCGCCACCAACACAGCTTAAGTTTGATAAGTGCAAAATCCCATATGAAAAAAAGAACTACCCTCATCTATTTCTCTCAGTATCACCTAATCATCTACCATAAACTTCTTTAAGCGTAATGAAAAGAATGGACACCTGGACATTATTTTCCTGCATCAATATTTCCTTTGCCTTCTCACATATTCCTCACCTGTAAAAGCGCATTCATAACCCAGCCGACTCAGTTGAAGTACTCTCAGGCTTCATAGGTACCTCCAATGAGTTTCCAACCCTCTAGATCCTGCAGCAAACAGAGCGCTGACACCCACACAATGTATTACATCCAGTTTAGAATCTAATGAACTTGTTCCTCAACTTAAACTAAAATGCAGCTTCTGAGACTCCAACGCACATTCTGCAAACTTCCAACCATTATCTTTCTCTGTACAGAAAATCTCTCAAAGAGATATAAGAAGCTACTCGAGGAGATGAGTGCTCTGATATGTGAAAAACAAACAAAATTCGTTGCAGGTTCAGGTTGAGGATTTTCTTTTGAAGTAAGAACTACAGTTCGTAAGGAACATTTCATTTTATTTATTTGTTATAATTTTTCAAATCATTCTTAAAGCGATGAAAAGCTTCAAACGTTCAGATGCAACATCTTCGCCTAAATTGAGCATGAAATTCGAAATTAAATATCACACTCGACAATGTTTGATTGACCTAAACCGTACAAAATGGCTAATTGCTGCACATGTACGAAATTGCCAAGATGGAAGGAAATTGCTAAGATAAGATCCACTCTACAAAATCTTATTTCAGCGGCATATGATCTTTTCATCCCCCAATCCCAACGACAATAGAGAGAGGATGCTCCTTCCCTAGATCGAGCTAACCTACCGAAACATTGCTACCCTCAATTCATACAGATGCCTTCAGTTTACAGATCACGTCGACCAAATTCGTCGACCAGGTTGCATTACCGCTCCAGAAGCCCTCACTGAACCGATCATTCCATTTCCTTCCTTTCGAGCAAGCAACGCCATTCATCGCCCCGAATTTTCAATCGTCTATTCGTGGAGAATACTTGTATACTTATACAGGGAACGTCGGCACCAAGTATCTCTTGCGAACACCAACTGCCATACTCAGCCCGAAGACTTGGTAACGAGTCAACACAGTAAATGAACGAAGGAACGACGGCCTGTAACCAGCTTCTACCATTACCATTCGATCCAATCTCGTGCATGCTTCGTGTAGGCCGTTTGCGACACCAGTTCCGGCATAGCCAGAGCTTCGAAGCCTCCAGGTGCTCTTTCTCCTCCTCCCTCCACCTCCTGCTCCTATTCCCCAAGCGCATCGAAGGAACATCCAGCTGCCCGTTGCAGGATTGCGAAGAAGTCACGCTCGCGTAGCTCCATAGCTCCCTCCCTCGCAGTAGAAGCAAACCCTAATAATATAAAAGAATGATAAAACGACCCAAATTTTTACTAAAATGTCCCATTTTATCTTAACCATCATTTGCACCCTCATCCTTGTTCCCAGAGTTCTCCATTCCCAACCATTGCTAAGGATGGGGTGGAGGTGATGGTTGGGAACAGGGACGAGGTTGAAAGGGTATAATAATAAGGCCAAATTTTTACTAAATTATTTCCCATATTCCCATCCTTCAATTTGACCTCCTTGACCTCGTCTCTCATCTCAATCCTCATGCCAAGCTTGAGAAGGATCAACAAGAGCAAAGAGAGAGAGAAGAAAAAATAATAATATTAATAATAATTTTCAAGAATAATGTCTCCGAAGAGAGCATGGAGGTTAATCACCAACTTGGCTATGGCAATGGTGCCCATAAAATGGGTGCAAATATCCTTTGTATGTAAGATCAAAATATGGATATTCATCTTGATCTCCATCAAGCTCAATGTTGATACTATCACCTTCCACTCACACACTTCTTTGTCAACCAGCATTGCATCAAGTCAAGTCAAGTCAATGCTATTACAATGACTTGTTTATGTTGTCATGCAGCAATGCTTAGTTTCAAGAAAAAAAAGGAATCACCATTCTATAACCAAAACAAAAACATATCATGAGGGAGGTGAATCCAAACCTGCAATATGAAGCAATTTTTTTGATGAAGATTTTTTGATGCTATGAACCATCTCAATTGATGCAAAATTTGCTTTGCAGTATCTCACCATCTACTTTCTAGTCACATTTCCATCATCCATTCTCTGTTTTGCTTCATTGATTATTGTTCTTCTGGTTATTGTACTACCTTTGAAATTTACATTGATTCTTTCAATTGGATCTCTCATATTCAAATGATTCACAAATCCTTTCTCAAAGCAAGTGTTTGGCTTTTGTTGTGTCTTGTATCAAAAGGGGTCAATGTTCATTTCTTGAAACAATTGTATTGTTGATATTCATAATTGTAAGTTGGATGATTTTTTTGGCTTAGTTCCCTACATACAACAATTTTGGATATGCAATTATCATCTATTTGGCATCTTAGGTCTTGCAATGAACGCCAATTGGTGATGTGGCTTCTTGACTGCGGTGGTGTACAATGGATCAGAGATGCTTGTGATTATATGAAATCATATGATATTATCGCCGCAAGAATTGAACATTATCAAGTTGATATAAGTGCATCTCACTACAAATTGATCCATCAATCCATCACCGTGATATTATAACTTATATCTTTGCACTTGCCCTATAAACACTACCTTCCCTCAACTCTTTGTTATACACAACTTTAAGCATACCTACATTATTTCATACTATAGAAGTATAATTGTGATCTTTGTAATTTGTTAGTGGTTTTCTTCATAGATTTGTGGAAGGAAGAATTCCCATTGGGTTGTGATCCAATTCATGGAGGAGGAGTAGCTTGCATCGTTTGAAGTAGTGAATGAGATTAGGATGTTGATTTTAAAACAATTGCAGTATAATATCATGGTTGTTTTTACTGGTCATTCCACGTATGCTTTGATGAGATTGAGGATGCATTAGAATCTCAAGGAAATTCATCTCTTACATCAAGTATTGAGAGGAGATATTAATAGTCTATTTACTACCTTTGATATTTCATTGGAAGGCACAATTACACAAATGAGATAGATAATAAGAGAATCATGCAAACGAATTTATATGCAAATGGAATAAGTGACAATGCGAGAAGTAGGGTTGGAACAAGGAATAGGATTGGGGAGGTTGGAAAGGAGGATAGGGTTGGAGGGATGAGAATGTGTGGAACTACGAGAACAAAGATGTAGGATAGAAAGGTGCAATCATATTCTAGATAGGTGAGTTGATTTAGTAAACATTTGGATCGCTTTATTATTTTCCAATGTGTATATATATATATATGCATACACTTATCCATTTAAAGGATAAGAAATAAATTGTGTGATTTTGATCTATAAAGTTTTTAGTGAATGATAGATTATTAAAGGTTGTTGTTTGAAGTGCATTTAACAAGTTTGGTTTAATTTTGGAATTGTTGCATCAAATGAGTAATTCATATGATGACAAATGATAAGATACAAAAAAAAAAAAAAAAAAAAAAAAATCAAATCAAATTTTAAATGAGAGATAAATCATTCAAATATATTTTTGAAAGAACATTTTTATATAGTTATAATTTAAAAATTCCATCCTAAGTACACTTTAAAAACCTTGGCTACTCATTCAAAGTCAAAAAAACTAATTTTTAGAATGAAGATAATATATTCACTTCTTTAATCATAATACTTATCATCTAAGGTATGAATAGTTTTGTTTATAAGAATTATCTTTTGAGCAAGACTATAACTACAACTTATGTAGAATTTAGAGGAGATATACTTAAAGTGAGGAAAAAATTGAAAGTATAAGAAATACTTTTTTTTGTATATTGACATAAGAATTTCTTAATACTTTTCTCTTCTTATTTTGATATTCTACTTAGTAAGAATTATGACAAAAGATATAAACATGTGAGAGATGGAGAATGGATACAAAAATTAATACAATTAATTTAGGGAACCACCAAATGGATATCCCTTTTTATTGCACGGACACTCCCTTCTCTTTGCATGCAATGCATCCTAACATATATACCTTGCAAAAAATAACTAATTTTTATTTCAAAGGATTTTTTCATTAATATTTTTATTATTTGATATAAATAAATAATAATATAATGAAAACATAATTTTTTAGATTTTTATTACTAAAAAAATGACAAGGATTTGTAAGAACAAAAGAATCAAAAATTGAGATAATATAGAACCATAGAATACAAATAAATAAGGATATACGAAAATTTGATGTTAAAGTAATAATTAAAAACAAGAATCATGATTTAAAATCAAAACTAGTTATTTTTTGTGAGGTGTATATGTGGGGGTGTATGGAACATGGATAATGTCCACCTAGTGGTTCCCTTAATATATATATATATATATATATCATGGATTAGTGTAGGATACTATTTTTAGTTTTTTATTTGTAATTAAAGTACTTACCTTTTGAAAATTGTTTTACTGCACCTTGTATCAAAATAAAATACTATACCAGCAAATATCAAATACCATTTTTAATAGATTCTAATACAAGAGTTTTGATCTTGTAAAAATAAATAAATAGAAATAAAGACTATGATTATGTAAAATAGTATGTATGTACATATGTATATATATATATAACTGTAAAAAATTATTTAATTTGGCGCTTTATTTATGTTTTCATCTGTGATGATTTAGAGCGCAAGTGATATCACAAAATTTATCATCTTATTCATATTCAAGTGTTATCTATGTCAGGATATTTTGCAAACTCATTTTCAAACATAGCTGCTGCATGCACTTAGTGCTTAAAAAGTAAGGACAAAAAATGCACTTCCTATTCGATTTGGTAACGGAGTGTTGCCAGTTTGAGTACAGAGCGCGAAGCTGCAGGCTCAAGAAGGATTGAGAGTAGGAAATGCACTCCATCATGTAAGAAAATTCCATTCACCTTCAGCATCAACAGTTTATCATTGGGCTAAGGTTGAGCCAATTGACATTCCAAAATTGATATTACGTCTCACAGCATTAATGGAAAATGAGGGACCAAGATCTCCTGTAACGTATGCTGGCGATTTATATCGGAGGATGATCCTATCTTAATGAGGAATGGCATACCGCAGGAAAACTTCGTGAATATTTCAGGAACAACATCTTCTACAACGTGTGTACAAGCACCTTACCAAGCCAACTCACTGAAACCATAAGCTGTACAGACAAAGGACAGGGCAGCTGGCTACGTCCCACCTGTCCTCTAATGGAACTCATTGCAGAAGATATAGCTTACCAGCTCACTACAACTACAAACCTTGTGTCCTTATCAGAATTCTTCACCTTCTTGGATGACGTGACGACATAGATGCAGAAGGCTTTGGAAACTTTGATTACGATCGAAACAGACTGTGAGTCTCTGGGTCCCTGAGACAAAAGAAGCTGCAATGCTACGAAGGAAGGTGACGGCTGAGAAGGCCTTCGAAAGCTGAATACAAGTCCTTGTTATCTGGACCAAAGGTTTCTTGAGCTTTTTGAAGCGTTTCCTACAGAGACGAGAATACGAACACTAATTAGTAGAGAGTTATGAACGCTGCTTCATGCTTGCACATGTTAATATATAACAACTGCTGCTTGCAATATTTGCAAGATGTAGCACTGACTGTAGAGTTCCATGCGCTTTCAAACAGACAAGATGGATATGTGTGGCAACTCAGATCGATTCCATCTAACAAATTACACATTTTGTAACAGTCGCTTAAGTGCACCCCGATACATAATCTAATAATGACACGGAATTAGGGATCTTGATACTAAGAATAATAAATTAAAAAAATATAAACTAGACCATTGCATTGTCACAAATCGATCGGACAACAATAATAATCATAATATAAATTAGATCAATTACGTATTATATTGAAAAAAACCTGATTGACATAAGTAAAAGTGACAGTAGCTTACCTCTCGTGTTTGCCGGTGTGCATTGAGTTCCTTGATGTTAGCCAAGAAGGCACTAAACTGCTCGTATGATAGACGGTTCCTGCACTCGTTTTACAAACACGATACCTTTTCCATCAAAAATCTAAACACAAAATTTATAAAATATAATAAATCACGCTTAAACTGGGAAAGCAAGGCTTATTCCATGCAATAAAATAATGAGGCCCTATTGTATGAAATACCTGGCCTGACGAAAGAAGTCTTTGCCATCAACTCGGGGTGTCCGTGCTGCCATACAAAAGTTTAGTGGTGAGATTTGAAACATTTAACATTCTATTCATTCTGGATCCCATTAAAAAGGCAGGAACAAAAAAATTGGTAGATATTGCACAGTAACCTTAGCAGGCTTACTTGAGATCTCTTTAGGAGTGACAGAAGAAGAGCAAAAGCCAAGAACGTACATGGCATGGAGCCCGAACTTGGTGGGGAGTTTGGAGCAGTGGTGGACTGGCTGGTTGGTTTGGATGACGGGAGTGAGATTCTGTGAGAATTCTCAGAGGAACTCATGCTACGCCGTGGCGAGGTTCTTGCAGATTGCCGTTTCGGTGATCCGCTAGGGGTCAATCTTGGGCTCAGATGTGGCGTACCTCGAGCAGAATTATGGGCTGAACCCTGATGACTGGTGGGCGGCTTCAATACTGCATAGGTAAACAATAGAAGGAAAATGTCACTGTATGTAGGCATAAACAAAAAACATCACAACTTAGTCTCCTGTTGACTGCACTAGTAGAGACTACGAGAACCTGAGTACTGGCACTGATCTTCTTGTAGACCACATAATCAAAAAAATCGTAAATGAAATGGCTGAAATTCTGAAGACAGGCTTCAAACAGACCTCCGGGGTCATTTTAGCAGGTCTCATCCGGTCCTTAAACATCTATATATACACATCTGTAAGACACAATCAACTCTGTGAGCAAGATTACGAATTCCAGCTAATCAGGTCAATGACTTTACCAGCTCCCTGCCGATAGCCACGCTCTTCAGTAATTACGGAGGAATCTGATTCGTATGATAATTTTCCTGGCTGATGATCGTCATCCAAAATTGGAGATCGGCTAACGGTTGATTCAGCTTCTGTAATCACAAGTTTCAGCAGTGAGCTTTAAATACAACACACAACTCCACCTCAACTCTAGAAGCACAGACTGATCTGCAGAAAACAGTTCCTGGTTATCACATGCTGCACAGATGTTTTACTCCATTTCTACATTTACGATTTGTGATGCACGGCGATTAGACAATCTTCAGAAGATATAAATAAGGTGAATACATAGTATTATGCAACACTACTTTCTTGAAAGCTACAACAATCATTTTAAATCAATAAGTAGCCACCAGAAAATTTAATACAATTTGTAAAAGAATTAGATATCTATTTGTTTGTAATGTTTCACGATGAACGTAAAGAATACGACACTTCCATGAGTAGGTTCTGAAATTTACGAAACGACAACTTCGCTCAGTCTTTCTCGTCACCTTTTACATTGCTGAAACAACTATGCTACTGCATGATGATGACACGACAGACTTCCACATAAGTCCTCGAGAATATGCCACTGTACAAAAAAGTAAAGAACTCACGAGATGCTCGAATAATCGCCAGGCTTGAATTTACACCTCGTCTTTCTCCTTCACCCTGAAAATTACAAAAGCAGAACGTGCTTCAGATTTAAACCTCTTCCTAGATAAGCCAACCCAAATACAAAATAACTCGTCGTAAATTACGAAACTAATAATCGGCTAGTGTTTAGGCAGTCTATGGTTAGATTAGTTCGGAATATGATGCCACTTGTTGTCAAAAGAATTAACCTTGCAACCAAGAGCAACCGTCATAACTCCCGACAGACTGAGATTTATTACTCAGGCAAGCCATTCTCACCCACTTACAGCCTTAGGAGTCCATCCTGTTTTCTTTGAAAGGTAGTAATAGAAACTTACATTGGGGTTCTCATCATCTTCCTGAAGAGAATTCATGAGCGTTCGCTTGAATGTCTCCAACTGCAGAGTAGAACGAGAGCAGAACAAAGACGGAAGTTCAGAACGCCGATATTGTTGCAAAGCCCTCCTCAGTCTAAAAAAAACTTTGATTCGTATACTTTACATCGAAAGCAACCACTATGCATTCTGCTGTAAGATAAAATGTTCCAATTGACAAAGAGCCTGGAACAATCCACTTCAAGCACTGTGTCTGATTTGTTTTTCAGAACTATGTAACCAATGAAGTGGTCTACAGTTCGACATCCTCTCGTAGGGTATCCAAGTGCGCCTCGTACAAGGAATTCTCTGTTGTCGTCCTTAACTAAAAAATAAAATGTTCGTGGCCTTGAAGCTTAGAATATAATTAGGCGCATTGAAATTAGCAAGAAAACCGGGTACTCACCTTCGCAACATCTCTCATCAGCTTTTTCACTTGAGCTGCCAGCATGTTTTTATCATTTGCCAGCTTGTTCTGTAAACAAAGTGGTTCACAGTAGGAGAGAAGGTGTTAGAAAAATATCGTGTGTCACGGAGTACTTCGGTGATAAATGACTTCAACCAAAGTCTCTTGTACACCAGAAGAAGAGCCCATTTGGGCAGATATTATAAATTTCTATCATTAAAAGTCGGGAATCAATCCCAATCAAGGGTCCATTGTGTTAGAGCAGATGTCAAGAAGACCTTTTTTGAAATCTCTATCAGCTGTAATAGTGGTATAAAAACTTCGATTACCCAACACTTTCCAACTCCAGATCCCAATGGAGGCTACAGTCAGAAGAAAAAAAAAAAACAACAACAACAACTTTAAGGGCCTGCGCGTAAGAGATGGAATGCACTTGTTCTAACTTGCAAAAATAAGACCTGTAAGTAAAATGACTAGACGCTGAAGGTAACATCGACCCTGAACATATTCGAAGAGAGAGTGCACGGGCAGGGGGTTGTAGATAACTAAGTGCTTCAAAACAGGAAAGAGATTATAAAGTGTAATTTCTGCTGAGCAGCCATGTGAACGTATCAACTCCTAGGACCATCCTTTGGCAACAAGAGAAAAGTATAATTGCACACCCGCCAAATACCCACTCAATGGAAGCTCACTTCAGAGACTGAGCAGACGCAAATGCTGTCAAAAGCGGCAATGCGAGCTGGGTACTGACTATATCAATGTGAATTAATAACTCAGAAAAAGGGATTTAGTGCAAGAACAATAAACACAAACTCAAAGCACCTGTTTGTGGTTGCTGTGGCCAGAAAATATCTTATTTACTCGTGACATGAAACTATTCAACAGCTAGAGGATCTCCAATGATAAACACCAAAAACGCAGGAGGAGAGTTGCGCGAAAAGCGCACAGTGGCGAGAAAAAGAGAAAAATTCTAAAGGTCCGTCCTTCAGCTCATGCATTCCAGGATTCACTCTCCAATTCCCAAGTTCAAACCTCACAAGACACCACATCCCATCACAAAGAAAGAACCAATTGAAACCAATCAGAGAAGCAGCCATTGCATAAAACTCCTACGAACCCACCTGCTCATCCAAGGCGTGCGACAGCCTCGCGCTCGTCTCTTGCAAGGTGTTCTCGGCCTCCACAACGCGATCCTGCAAGCCATAGATGACATGCTCCTTCTCTGACAGCTTTTGACGGAGCTTTCCGGTCTCGCTCTCAAGCTTCGAGACGCGGGCAGCGACCGCCATGGCGGTAATCCGCCTGGCCACATCCAGTTGCTCGTAAGGGTCGGAGGGGAGCACAGACAGAACCTCCTGCGGGAGCTCAAATTCGCCTCCATTGCCCATGCTCCCCGCGTATAAGCTTCCGTTCTTGCTCATCACACAAAATGAGCCCAACGTTTTACCCTAAAAAATCCTTTTCAGCACCGCGAGGCTGACGAAAAGCGAACCGAACAATCGGAGGCAAGCTAAAATAGCTATCGAGGAAAATCACACACACTCGCGCGAGGGCCAAACCAAAGCCAAAGGGGCAGAGGGAGCCGAGCGAGTGACCTATTGGCTCCGTCCGAATGCATGAAGACGAGAAACCCGTGGTTCAGATTCCGTCCGCCTTCTAAGTTCAGACGTGGCCGAAGTTTGAACGATATTAATTGGTGCCATTCCCTTTGGATATGCTACTTTGTGAGCTTCTCCCATTTTGCTTAATTGCTTTTTTGCATTACTGCATTAGGGACTAAGTTAGTTGGGAGCTTTACTTGTGCATGTTAAGGCTGGGTTCTGACAAAGGTGATGAAGCTTGACCAAGGGGGTTTAGTTTGTGTGTGTGTGTGTATATAGACAAGCAATCTATGTGGGCTGTGGAGGATTGAATTAAAACAAAGCGTGTTTACAACAGTGTGCACTAAAGGAGGAAAATAAGTACTGAAATCTGTTTTTTTTTTTTTTTTTTTTTTTTTTTTTTCTGAAAAAGTGTAACATCACTCTTAGCTTTTCATGTGGATTTTATTGGATGATGTGGCTTGTTACAGAGTATGCATGGTGTGCTGCAAAGCTTAATGGTTTCATAGCCAACACCCTCTGTGGGCATCCACCAGCCAAAATTACAGTACATATATGTGCATATATATATATATATATATATGTGTGTGTGTGTGTGTGTACAGTGGGGGAAGTTTAAAGGAGGTCCCAAAAAAAATCTGTGGCTAGTATTCCACATCAAACCCAGAGACCAAGGCATTAGTGGGGTGGGGTTCCACTGACTTCCCACCAAACCATGTAAATCTTCCAACTATGTTTACTCCACTCTGTTATCTTCCCTTGATGCCCATTAATACTACAATAGTTCTAGGTGTGAACACAATCCTCTTTATTGAGTTTGATTTTAAGAAAGATGCTAATCTCAAAGGGAAAGTCCAATTTGAGTATTCCATTGCTGTGCATCAAAAACTATAAAAAGAAAGGTTCCAAGTAATTATGAAATGTTCCGAACAAAAGCTTCATGTGTGATGCATTGGTGCCATTCTTGTACAGTCATTTAAACAGCTCCCAACAGTTTTATGGAATTTTCAAACCATTGCATGTGAAAATCAGACCTGATCCGGTTCTGTCCACAAGTCCATTTGGGTGAGTCTGTAGCCATTGGTTCAGGCCACATCCTACTCACACACCTTTGCTTTCCCATCTGCCTGCTTTAGAAAGGGCCAGTGGGAATTGTTAGCTTTTTGTTATCTGAGGGTGCTGACTGAGCTCAGCTTTCTGCTCAAGAACCCCCACATCAGCCCCTCCTGTGTCTTTTCAATATGCAATGTGTGTGTTGCCACCCCTCAAAGGCTACAGCATTACATAAATAGAGTGGAGAGCAAAGGAACAGGAAGGTCCCCTCTGCAATGGTGACACAACTGATGCTGACAGATAATTCCTGAAAACATAGGGAATGGTGAATAGAGTAGTGAAGAACAAATAAAATAATATAAATTCAATGAGGGAAGAAACAAAATTAATGGACTTCGATTAGCCTCACATTTGTAGAAAAAATCACTTTAAAGTTCATAACAGTAGGGATCCAAAATTCAGGTTGCCCATTACGCAGCAGAGCTTTAAATTCTATGTTTCAGCAACTAATTTTTCTCTTCTGGGTTTATTGACGGCCAAGCGTATTTGTATACGAAGTGAAGAAAATTGTGATTTGATTTCTCAGATTGTTAGTTAGTTAGTTCTTTTTTTCTTTTTCTTTTTTTTTTTTCTTTTTTTTTCACAACAAATATTGGATTTCATTTCAGGACTCATTTCAAATTCACAACGCCCGTGCTAAAGATGAGAGAAGAGATGGATCTTCATGTAAATCATTGATGTGTGAAGAAAACTAATTAATCGCTGAAAGGATGAATGCATAACTCGACTACAGTACACAGCTCAAAGTAATCTTGCCGTTCCTAACACATGTAAGGTATACCCTGCCACTTGTTGCTACATTCTGCCATTATCTCGGATTCATCTCGGGTCTCTGTATAATTGTCACTCTTCCATTTTCTATTGCGGCTGTATTCCAAGCGTCAGAATGAAATCCTGAGTTGTTACACGATCCTTGTTCGGAATTCACATTTGAATACAGCATGAATGGTCTGTTAGCAGGGAGAGGAGGCACCGACACTTCTCCTATCAACATTTGACGGGCCATCTGCATCCGAAGACGTTCATTAGGATTGGGATTGGCACACATCAGCGCAACGGACAATGCAACCTGAGCTTGAGTACGATCGAAAGCTTGGTTCAAACCAGGGTCTACAACCTGTAGAAGCTCTCCTTGCTCATGCTTCTCCCACACCCAGTCTAACAGTATAACAGTCCCGTCGAAAGGCCGCCTTCGGCATATAACCTCCAGTGCCAGTATTCCAAAACTGTATACGTCACTCTCCGTGGTGGGTTTAAACGTGATAGGAAGTTCAGGTGCCATGTATACCATGGTTCCAGCCAGCTTGGTAGTTGCAGCCACCATATCGCGAGCTGATGATTTTGCAAGTCCAAAGTCACCCAATCGCCCTTTGAAGTCCCTGTCAAGCATCACATTGCTTGCTTTAATGTCACGGTGGATCACGCATTGCTCCAGCTCTTCGTGCAGATAGGCGAGAGCAGATGCAAGATCTACGATGACATTGTAACGCATGGTCCAATTGAGGGGACAATTACTTGCGTAGAGGTGCTGATCCAGGCCACCGTTCGGCATGTAATCGTAAACAAGTATGAGCTGACCTTGTTCGTGGCACCAGCCTTGTAACTGGACCACGCTGCGATGCCGGATATTGCTAATAATCGACACTTCCGCTACAAACTGCTGTTCGCCTTGATCTGAGCCTTCTGAAATTTTTTTCACGGCTATCATGGTTCCACTCCTCAGCACTCCACGAAAGACCTTGCCAAATCCCCCCTGCCCTAGCAACTCATTCTCACTGAACCCCTTTGTTGCATCACTTAGTTCTCTGTACGTGAATATTCGAGGTCCACTTGCAAGTTGTGCAATTTGCGGGAAAGGATCGTCAAGGCATGGAGCAGGAGCAGGAGCACAACAGCAACATCTCAATCTTGCTCTGCAAATACACAAGAGAACTACAATAATTATGAAAATGAGACCTGCAGCAGCACTGAGCACGGCGATAAGTAAAATGTTCTTTTTTCCGTTGGACGGAGCCGTAGTTTTAAAGCTCCATCGACGTAATCGAAATGTGTGTGCAGGATAAAAGTCACTTCCAGTGGCTGCTGAAAACCCCACATACATAAAGTTTCGGATAGTCCTTGGCAAGTTCAATCCAATGAATTGTAGATCCGGCTGGGTTGGCTTCACACTGCTTGAACCCATTGCTAAGCGCACTTCAAGAGTCTCACTTTCAGCCATGTAGTCAATCCAAACATTGATGTCCCCTTTGTTGGTAAAGTAAGTGCAACGGTTATCCATCACCGGACAATAGTCTTTTACCTTCACGGATTCGATGGAGTTTACGTCTAAGCCAATGTGGCTGGCGCTTGGATCCCATGGGTTCTTGAAAACATCAATCTCCACTGCAATCTTTTGATTGTTTGTGGAGGCGTTGGTTGTCGATGAAAATATCCCAAGGTATCCACGAATGTCACCGATGGAAAAATCTGGAGTTATCAAGAATGCAAGTCCGCTACCTCCGGTTGACGCATTGTAACCTGAAGTACTGAAGGTAAACTCTGTACTAAAAGAAGCAGCGTCATCGGAGTTGTCCCAGAATTGAACTTTCTCTTCATAAATAACCCACCCAACACTCAAGGCGTTCTTTTCCTTGGGAAGGAAGAGGACGTTCCTACCACTAGGCACATCTGTTGCATTCGGAATGTTGATTGTACCATCATTCTCCGGACTCTTAAAATTAGGAAAACTAAATTCAATAGTTTTCAATTCAGCTGTGGCAAAAGTTGCTAAATGAAGTAAACCTAGGAGGGTAGACACCAAGTGCAAGAAACCGTTGTTAATCTGCATACTGAAATCAATCCAGGTTGAATAGCTTAGAAACTAAGACTTCAGAAAGCTGTTGATAGAGGTGACAAGTTTGGATGAAGCTGGACCATCATAGAGGATAGTAAATACGAAATAGTCGTGGGGTTTCGGAGCTCTAAGGATTCCATCCAGTCTTTGAAGAAGCAGTGAATACAGCTTAACCTTTGGCTCCCACTGCAGTATGTGCACAGGAAAACCAATCAGTGGAGAGTTCGCCGAGCCATGAAGAGATTAAAAAATAAATATAAAAAGGCCTTCCCCCCCAAAAGTTGGAAAAATTAAAAATCTATCGCCGCAAGCCTGCAGAATCCGCTATCAGAAGAGCATCCATGCCTGCAATTAAAAAGCGTTTCCTTGCTGCGCTTCGAAGATCACAGATGTCTTGTGAATAGAAGCAGAATTTTAAGACAAAGAGTGCACAAATAGGAAGACACATTGGGTCCCTAAGCGGCTTCCTGCGAGGGTCTGTAGGGAGTTGAATGGGTGTTAAAGTTGTGTACATATGCAGAATCCAGCCACAGCAGGCATCACAGTATCTCCGAAAAACTGCGAGGTCCAGTATCGAGCTACTTAGGACCCGTCTAATAACCGCAAGTGGAGATCCGAATACATGAATTCGGGTCTCGACGACACAAATAACGAAGCTTCTTCACACTCACGAGGTCATTATCCTTCCCTCTTCAATAAACAGTACCGGAAACAACAGTAGAGTCCCGAGTTCTAAGATCCCACTGCAGCTCTTGAAATTATCCTCTCAACACCCCACACTCAGAGACAGCGGTTCGCATTACACATAGCCCTTCCACCGCATCACTGAAGACATTGTAAACCTGGTCCCCAAAACGAGTTCCAGGGCATACCTGATCGTTGAACTAGTGACTTAGATTCGACGAAGCACAACCTGTCACACTGTAGCAGATTCAAGCTTCCATTTTGACAATAACACTGGTTTCCAAACTCTCTGATGCTCCACATCCACTAAGGCAGAAGCAAAACCAGGTACGGTTGCTGCGAACCCACATACGCAAAGGTACTGGTGGTGCGGCACAAAGCAGGAAGGGGAGGAAGTCCAGGCTCTTCGGATGCTCATTAATAGGGCCTCCTGCAAGTTGCCCCATAACGCCCGAGTCTGCAGGTGCCCTCTTTGTTTGAAGAATCTTCTGCCGCTGATTTCAACAGCTATGGCATCAAAAGCAACATTGGATGTTCTCATTTCTGTTCACGCCGAAGCTTCTGAAAATAGTAGAAAAATGGTAGCTCAAGTCATGATGTGATGGATGATTTGTGTCGGGAAATTATTTTCTTAAAATGCCCATTTTTGATGTGCTCTTTACAACATGATTAAAGTGTCGTTCGTGAAAGTATGAATTAGCCAGTGTTTTTTTCTTTTTTGTACATGTGCACTATACATGCACACATACATACATTTGTATATTAAAAATGTGATTTAATAACTTCTTTTTGTATATTCAGTGGCTATGTTTAAAAAAAAAAAAAAAAAACTTTATAATACGTAGTTTACTAAACAGAATAAACTAGGATTCAGAATTGATTCTCCATGGAAGTGGTGCACAGGGAAGGGTGGCCAGGACTCGTGGTCCCCTGCATTGGAGGCTGCTGGAGCCAGGCAAGCTCCCCGCCCTCCCGCTGTAGGGCCAGTTATTACTTGCCCTGCTGCGTTCCCAAGATTTTTTTTTTAACAGGCTGAGAGCCTGAGGCTGACGTCCATTGAGTTGGGAGTTTTTGAGGACACCTAGTGACAAGGATTGATGAGGGTATATTTATAACGTGGACTTCGTGCGTCAGCTCTTAATGTATTTCTTTGAACGTGAGCAAGGTTGGGGTCAGTCCTCAAGAACAAACTTTTCAACATGATGATTTTTGAAGTTTAGAGTAACGTGTGGTGGTATTAACAAAAAATAATGGTGGTATGTGGTGGATGGCATTTGGAGTGGCAATAGCAACATTTCAAAAATATATTCCATTCACAGAGATGACGGAGGGATGAAGTAAAAAAAGTCAGAGTGCGAGCTGTTCGGCGGAATCGCCTAGGTCACTAGTACAAGTCAACAAATAATTGTGTATGCAGACAGCTAAATCCTGATTAACACGCCACGCAGTTCCTAATTTAAACAAAACGTTCTAATAGTAGTATAGAACAAAATGATGTTGGCTACCACCCTTACCATAATTGATTCAATATTAGCTTTAACACGTGCAGCGTGGTGACCTCACAACAGCCTCTCGATCAGCAAGTTGGAGATTTGCTTTCTCTGAACCCATTCCACAGACACCTCCACAAATTTTCGGAATCGACACTGCAATAAAAGTCAAGTTGCCGTGGGACCCAAATCAAGCACATGCAGCAACAAAGAAACTGCGATGACGAAGAAGAGACAGCTCATGAATCTCCTCCAGATCCCCAAAAGTCCGAACCTGACGCACTATAATTGAGCGTTGTACCGACAATCTGCCTCGGTGGATGATATCGCACCCTTTTTAGTGTTTGATTTTCCACACCTAGTCGCCTAGGGTCACTCTGGAGGAAGCATCGGATGGTGTGGAGTTGACCACAGTGACAGTCATCATACGGCATATTCCGACTGACAGTTGACGCGGCTTTGTATTGTCCGTTTGTGGTTGAACTAGAACTTGTCGTCTGCAAGGTGGGCTGATATTTTGACATCTCACACCCTAATCGTGAACTATGGTGGCATTGCCGTCCTAGGTTGAACAACGATGATATGATTAGTTTAATCTGCAAGTATTGATTCTCTTCAACTTGTTGAACACTGCATCACTAGCTTAGCACCCCCGTTAGTGACTGGCTGGGACTACTTCAAGAGTCACAGATCATGTCAAATGGTCGGATGAAATGAAACTGTGCGTCATTCAAACCACTCTACACCCAGCCATAGTGAGTTCAAATTCTTGGTAATATTCGAAAAGGTTTCGGCTGGAAAGGTCGGGATCGACGTTGAAATGAAATAGGTTCGGAGTTGGTAAAGGCAAATCATCATGACAAAGCCCAGTAATGGACAGATCTTTATTCTCAAGGTTGCAAAGACTCAGAACGAAGACTGTTGTGATTTGCCGATTGCCAACCATCCCTTGAATACGGGACTTGGAGTAGATTTCGTCCACGAGCTCTCTGTCACCAGGAGAGGTGTGGATTGGAAAAGAGACCCACCTTCGCTAGCGCAGGTTGCTGCGGAGGAACAGCAAACCAATCCTACGATTAAAATCATTCGCAAATAATCTCTCCGCAACACAACCAGCTACTTTCGTCAATAATTCTCAGTTTGTTCTGATCAGAACACTTCCATGTGTGCCTTCGGCGGTACCGTCCACCACAAAAGATTCTACAGAATGACATATTTGATCCATACCTACTCCGGTGTAGATTTCACCCGACAGAGCTCTTTCAAGGGGTCTCGTAGGACTCCCCCAGACTCGGCAACAGAGGAAGACTATTTTCTGAAACCTGAGCTCATACAAGACAAATCAGAACTTTATTAGGCAATGCAGATTTAGGTTTTTTGTTCGACTGGGATAGAGTTCAATTTTTTTATAGTGCCAGCACTGGCAGTGAAAGAACGTCAAGTGCAGCTTACTTGAGTAGGGTGATAAGAGAGAGATGTGATGACACTTGGAGAGAGCCAAGGACAAATAGAAGAAATGAGAGGAACATATGTACTTTGCAAATATGAAAATACACACATCAACGTTAATTCTTCCCAAGACCTCATGCAAATTAATCAATATCTTATCCATCACCTACAATCTCTTTGGTGCTTGAGTTATATAGAGAATAAAGTCTATTTGAACAAATAAATATTTTTTCATTGCTTATTAACTACTTGTTATCTATAAGCAACAAGTAAGTTTAGAAGGTTTAAAAAGACTTCAGTATATGAATAATAGTTTGTAGGAGAAATTTATTTCCAAACCTTCATTCTATGCAAACTTCTACAAAATTATATTTTAAGGAATTCTATCTTAAGAGACTACTCTTAAAGATAGTAAGAAATAATTATTTGTAAATAAAGGGGTATTTTTAGCCCTATTGGCTTCAATTTGATTTGAAAATCATAAAGAATTAATTTGAGAAGACTAAAAAAGAAAATACAAATAAAAATAAAAGTTGAAAATCAAGATGTAGATTTAATCTTCAAATTCAAGCATACTTTAAGAATTTGGTTTTTGATCTCAATAATCAATATCCATTGTCTTAATCAATTATGTACTATTTGAAAAATAATATGCATTAATATAATATACTTTGATTTTTTTTGATACATTTAAATATAAAATAATATTCAAAGAAAAGAATAAAATATAAAACTTTAATTAATAACAAATTTCAAATCATATTTTAATTAAATTATATATAATTTATAAATAACCAAGAAATATATGTATATTTAAAAGTTATACATAATTATTAACTATTAATAATTATCTATTTTGGATTTATAAATTCTAAATAATTATATTTTAAATACTAATAAAGAATTTTTATAATTTAAACTAATATGAGATTATTTGCTAAAATTATTATTTTTTCAAAAAAATTAATAAAAATTAAAAAATAAAGATATATTAATATAAATAATTTAAAAAGAAACTTGTATATAAATATTTTTAAAAGAATTTTATATATAAATATTTTTGTATTTGAATTCATGTAAGAATCTTTATAAAAAGAATATATATATATATATATATATATATATATATATATAACATTTAAAATTTTATCTTTTTTTTATATGATGCATATCTTAAATTATAAAAATCATCCTTCTACTTATTTATCTTTTGAAATATAACTTTAATTTTATGCCAATAAAACATCACCACCTTATTTTATAAATACTAAAATAACATGATTTTTCTATATTCTATATATCTTTGATCAAAGTGCTTATACAACAAGGCCATATTATCCATGTGCTATTTTATAATATTTTATTTAATTACTAAAATATATAATATTAATTCCTAAATGTAAAAAATATAATTCCATAATAATACTTTATAAACTATATGTACTTCTTTGAATATTTTAAATATATATATTTTTTTATAAGTGAGTATTTTTTCTTGTGTAACAAAAAATCTTAATAGTTTAAAAAAAAATTATTTCATATATTTGAATCAATCAATTCTTATGACTCTCTACTAATCTTTTTTGTATCTATTCTAATAGACCAATGCTAGCTATAATTTTTGGTATTAATTTTATTAAACTTAAAAAATATTATTTTAAAATATAAATATTATAATTACTTAGCAATATTTTTGCTAAAGATTTGATTTACTTAAAAAATTAAAAGATAGTATAAAAATATCAATATTCATGTATAATTACATATTTATTTATTTATTTATTTATTTATATGTTTTATTGGTCTTATAAATTTTATTGTCTACTTTAGAAATAAAGATAATTTTATGGTGTATAAAGATAATTTTATGGTATATTATTTCATAATTTTATAATAGCTTATAAAACAAGCTAACTATGTAGCACATACATAGATAACTTGCTTTGCAAGTTAAGACATGTAACTAGCAAAGTCAATACATGTTAGAGGTCCTATAGAATATCGCCATGTAACTCATTGTTAGAGAGTATATATGGAGGCAAGAGTGAAGCCTTCTTTATTCTTGTCAATACCTTTCTAGTCTTTAGTCTTGTTTCAAGTCTTATTAGTCTTCTTGTTTTTGGCAATAACCATTCTAGTTTAATATTACATTACCTTTTGAGTGACTTTTTAGGTCTCTTGAGTGACATAAGAGTGTATTGAAGATTTTCTTTCTTTGAGATTCATGTCCTTGATACTTATATATGATACTTTTCCTATTTTTATTTTTATTTTTTTCTATTGAGATTTATATAAGCATATGCAAATATGATAAGAACTTTAGTGAATAAGAGAATGTTATGATATAGAAGTAGCATCATATGTATTAGAGACCATATACAAGATAAGGATTCAAGACTAAGAAATGGAGTTAATTTGATATTAGAACAATAACTAGATATAAGGGAAGAAGGTCATAGTTAGACCACAAAAGTG